TCATGAGAAACTATTTGTTCTGTAAGCCTTCACCTGAAGTACAATTAAAAAACAAAAAAAAGAAATAAGGCTATTGTAAGAAGTAGCCTCATGTAACGAGTCTGCTGTAAGAATGTTGCCTTACTTACAAGGAACCCTCCCACTTCCTGGGGAGAAAGTTGTACTTCCCCTAAGCAGTGGTTTGTTTTTAATCTTATGGATATTGTGAATTACCCTTTTGTTATTAGCTGCTGGAAAACATCGAATCTACTTCGGAGCCCAACAGTAGCAAGTGAAAAATTCACTATGGAAGGTACATTGTAATCATCCCTGGTTCCTTTTATGTTCCTGTCCTCATTTTCTTTCTTTTATTCTTCCCTCTCTTAATTTCTGTTAGCCTGTATTTTATATATCCTTTGCATCCTTTTCTGAAATAATGTGGAACATAAATACGTAACAGAAGGTAAAAAAAATCTTTTTTTTTTTTATAATTGAACTCTTCTTCTCTGGAATCCCAATTCTTGCTGATGGCAAAATAAATAACTTAGTTAAATGTAACTCAGTCTCTTTTAGTTTAAAATTTTTCTCTGATAAATATTTGGTAGTTCAATGTACAGATTTACTTTAATGGGTATTTACACATCTTAACAGGCCTGTCCCTTTCTTCCATCTTTCCTGGAATGGTGTCAAGGATCAGAGAGAATCTTCATTTCTCTTTATGGCAAAAAGTAATATTCCATTGTATGTATATACCACATTTTGTTTATCCATTCATATGTTGATGGGCATTTGGGTTGTCCTTTTGGCAATTATGAATAGCGCTGCAATGAACAGTGGTGTGCAGGTATGTGTTTGCATTCCTGCTTTCAGTTCTTTTGGGTATATGCCTAGGAGTTGAATTGCTGGTATATACCTAGGAGTGGAGCATATGTTTAACTTTTTGAGGTACAACTACCAAACTGTTTTCCACAGAAACTGCTTTGCATTTTCCATTTCTACCAGCAATAAATGAGGGTTCCAATTTCTCTACATCCTCACCATCATCTGTTGTTCTCTGTTTTTTGTTTTTTTTAAATCATAGCCATCTTATTGTAGAGTTGGAACCACCTGTAAATAATCCAAGAGACAGTTGGCTGAGTATAAAATTCGATAGGTCCAAAAGAGGCATTATTACCTTGACTTGTAGGCTAATATGAATTGATCACATTGCAGGTGCTACCAGTGGATGAAAGTGGCAGCCATCTTTGTAATGTTACAGATCATCTTGAGGAGCACCAGAGTAGTCTCTTCAGCTTCCAAATGGACCACTTTTACCCCAACCTACATACTCAGCCCTCATTTTCAGAGTCACTGATACTTATCTCAAAGCTTTAGAATAAACTTGTCTATGAAAAATATTGAAGTTTTTTTTTAGGTTAGCATACATTCACAAGTCAGGATAGCAAGCTGTTAATTTCCCAGGAAGACTATGCTGAGTGGATGGAATTCAGGGCAGGCTGGTGTGGTGGTGGGGGTTGCAAGTGCCAGGATAACTCTGGAACACAAGCTTTCTTGGTGAAGTGCTGGTGCAGGGCCCCTCCACAGTCAGGGGTCAGAATTGGATCATTGAATTGCTAGGTGGGCAGTCTGAGACAAGGAAGAAGGATGTGGAAGTGAAAGGCAAGAATTGCCAATTTTGTTGAGATCCTGAGGATGGGGACTGGTTTTAGGGGTTGCTTTTTGGGTCAAATAGGAAGACTCATAGGGAAGAAAATGTGTGTCCCCTGAGACAAAGAGAAGAGGGAACATTATAACTGATGATACTACCGCATGAATGCCAATTATTGTGTGCATACAGCCTCATACAATTTCTTGAAGGAATTGTATCTGCTTTTACTTTCAGCACCAGCCTGAGCAGGACTCATGAGTGAAATAAATGTGAAGAGCTC